GAGAGCTGGACGAAGATAATTATTAAGGAAATTGCAGTAGTAGGCAGCGTTTACTGTCTGTCGTTGAGGTACAGTGTGGTGCAGTATCACTCCATCAGTGTCATATGCCACAATGAACATCGCCTTCACATTACTCTGTGTAGGGAGCACTTTCCTTGAACGAGGAGAGCCAGGATGCTTCCATTCATTTGATTGTCGCTTCAAGTGAGTTTCGTATAAGCAAGCCCAAGCTTCGTCAGGGTGACGTTCCTTCCAAGGAAGTCGTCACCTTCCCTCTAGTACCGGTCCAACAAGTCCTGTGCAATTGCATAACGTTGCCATTGTTGTACCTCAGACCGCAATTTTGCGGTATCCAAGAATGTCGTGCAGAATGTGGAGCATGGGTTTGTGACATACGCCTACCTCAGCAGCTAACTCCCGCGCCGCCCATCGACGATCGACATCTAGCAAAAAAGCAAGAAGCTGAATTGTGTGGTTGTCATCATGGGGTCGTCCTGAACGACGGCTGTCCTGAATGGCATCCCTCCCTTCACGGAACAATTTCACCCATCGTGCCACTGTGCGATATGGCAAAGCAGCATCATCACATGTTTCTCGCAGTCCCTGATAACAGTTTTGTGCACTACGACCTCGTGCAACTTCAATTTCTATCCAGGAGCGTTGTTCTTGTTTCGTAAACATGTTGTTAGGGTGCTTGAACAGGGCTCCCGCACTTCAAAGCGACGCACAATGCAAATCAATCAAACACAACCAGAGCCACTCACTGCACTACTTCAACTGAACTTCTGTTATCAGCTACAGACGGCGCTAGTGCCAACTGACGCACATCTTTCATGTTACAGCAGTGTTGGCACTACTTTTTATCCAACCCTTGTATTTAAACCTCTGAATCCTGAAATTAATCTACAAGGTAAAGTTGTCCTTGTGCTTAACTAATTAAGAAATGCGCTACGAAAACGTATGGTGGGGTGAACATATAGCTCCATAATTCTTGATCTCAGCGCTAGATGAAGGTGGGTGGTCAGCATCACGCCCCGTCACAGAAAGTGTTCCATTGCAGATTTCGTTTCACAGAGCAATAGAAGTATGCTTTCTATTTCTTTTATTTCTTCTTTATCTCTTTCTATCTCTTTCACTTTTTCTTCTCGTCTCCTTTCCTTTCTCACTTTGTTCTGCTCTTCGTTCCTCATTCCTTCCTCTAATTTCTTATTCTATTATATCCTTATTTCATTCCATATCGTTCTTTATTTTCTTCTTCTGTTCTCTTTTTGCTGTCTACTTTTTTCTTCCTTCTCTCTTTCTCATTTTCGTTCGCCCATTTCTTAATTTCTGGTTTTCATCTACCTCTCACCCTTCTCTCTTTTCATCATTCGTTTTATTCTTCCTTTCATTTCTTCTCTCTCCTCGACTCGACACAACGTGTAGTTTCCCGCCTGTACAGGACTTCTTGTTCGAGACGTTAGCTGTAGGAAACGAAGCATTACGGCTTCTCAGGCTTTCAGCAAAGCAGAACCACTTTTCTCCTGAATGTTAAGACATTGATGAGAGGCCGCTTAAGTGTTCATGCAAATTTGATGCGACAAGAGGAGCAAGTTAAGTGGAGAGAGAAGTTGTGCAGGGAAGCAGCTAAGCGATCAACAGGAGCAGCATCAATATCGCTAATTTAACTTCACAACAGCAAGTATAGCAAATTGAGAGGGAAAAGTGCCTTCCGTACGCAGCCCACAGTTCCGCGCATGGTCATCTCACGGGCGTGAGCTCTTTCAAGAAGACGGCTAAAAATGCACGAGATACGAAAGTCCTTAAAGAACAAGAAGACCGCATAGAAAACGAAAAAAAGGGACACGGACAAACAATGATATTGCATAATAATAGCAACGGCCTGTTGCCTAGCAAAAACAGAGAAGGGAGACACAGACAGCAAAGTGATCTCATAAACCTCATTAAAAAATTTTGGGGATACAGAGATAAGAACGGATATACAGACAGACAACAAGGTGAAGGATGCCGTCTTCTTGGTTGTGGCGCCGTGCAGATATTGTGTAAATCGACGTTTCGGACGGACATATCGCCTCCATCTTCAGGGTATAAAAATACGAAAACGAGGAATCAGCATGAGCAGGTGGCTGTAAACGTCGGTTTACACAATATCTACACGGATCTACATCCCAAAAGACGGCATTCTTTATAGTCACCGCTGTGAAAACCTCAAATCTTACATACAGAGCATGGAGATCTCATAAGCCTTATTCAAGTTTTTCAAAATAATGAAAGTAGGCTAAAAGTGGCGAGTAGGCGAAGCATTAGTTATTGCAAGGAATATAACGCGTGTAGGCCTCCCTGTGAGACGGGTGACATTCCTAAGAATTGAAATAGCGTACGCACAAGAAAGTCGATATTCCTAAAAGCGAAATAGCTTAGACCTACATATTAAAGAAAAGATATTCCTAAAAATGGAAATTTAAAGCCGGATATTCCTACGAATATGAGAAGCGTATATAGAAAATTTAACGCGAGTGCTTCACGATTTCCCTGTAGTGCTTCATCAATGCAACACGCCACGAAGTCGTGTGTGTGTGTGTGTGGGGGGGGGCGGAAGTATAGCTCGGCACTAGACGGAGGTGAGTGACAAGCTTCACACCTCTGTTGCTTTACCCCCAGGAATAAGCCCCCTCTGGACTCGCTGTATAAAAGGTTGGGTGGACCCTAGAGCCGGTATGGATAAGATGAAAACTTTGACCTTGCCGGGACTCGAAACCCGGAAGTGTAGCCAGTTGCCCGTCACTATATCGACTGAGCTATTCCGGCTCTTGAGATTATATACGAACTCCGCGGCTTTAGTCTGCAAGCGAACTATACCGACCGAGCGATAGCCGCTTGTCGGTGAAGTTAATACCAACTTTAGCGAACAGAGGGTATCATGTGGTCCGTGCAACGATTCCCGACGGCCGTTAATTTCGGCTCTCTAGACCGGATCAGCTATTTCCTTGAAATAGTTCCTCAATTATCCTCACGAGGCAGAATGGAGCCCGTTTCAAACCCACTACTTCTCAGAAAATCTGGTAGCGCCGGTAATCGAACCCGGGACCTCTGGCTCTGTAGCCAGGAAATC